TGTGTTGTGACAAAGAAGAGAAAGACCCAACCCCCCTGTGAGTGTGTGTGTGCGTGTGTGTGTGTGTGTGTGTCTGTCAGAGGTCAGCTCATCTCACAGGGATGATGTCACGGGGTGGGGGTTTGGCTGGTTAAGCTTTGAGAAAGTTATAATGTGTCACCTGCTGCTATAAAAGGGCAGAAGAAGAGGAAGAAGAGGGGGAGGAACCCACGCTCGGACTTTAAAGGACTAGTCTGGAGGGTTTTTTTAGCCCATTAAACAGCGACCGTGTGCTTGTTAGTTTGTGCAGCGTTCGTGTGACTTACAAGAAGTCCAGCAAAAAGACCAAAATCAGCACCGTCTGATGCACTGAGCTCTAACGTCACCCAGAACTTTTAAAAACAGCAGCGAGGCACAGCTGATCAGACAAACTCATCCTGAACATGATTTTAATTAGCGTCCAAACTACACTTTGTTTTTTTCTAAAACCTCTTAACTATTTATAACACAAAGATAAACTACATTTGTATTTCGCATTCACAAAAGGAGAAATATCAAAAAATTTATTAAAACATCACAAAAACAAGACAAAGAATTAGAGGTTTTTGCATGTAAAATGTTCAGAAAAGCTACAATAATAAAAATGCAATAAAAATGTGATTAATGAAGAAAGGTTAACATGTGGAAAAGTAAGAAAGAAATGTGTACACCCATCAACCACAATATTTATTAATCAATCAATAAAAAAATAATAATTTAAAAGCCATCAAGACCCCTCCCCCCCCCCCCCCTTATTATTATACAGGAAAAATAATTAATAACCCAGCCAAGAATTTTTAAATAGTTTCCTTTCACCTACGCTTTTAATAACCTCAAACTCCGCTTTAAATATTTCCATTTTTATAAGTCACTTTCAAAATTGGCGTAAAGATCTTTTATAATGAGACTGCAGAGCAATAAACGCTGCACTGCATTACTCAAAAATAAGGAAGGAATCACCAAACTACTTCAAACGCCTGAGTAAACAGAATCAGTGATCATATGCATTGTGTGATAAACATTAACCCGATAAAAAACTTTTTTCCCCACTCAATTATATACATGTATATTTGGCTGATTTCAGTAATATTCTCTCCTCTCACTAAACTCCCTCTGTAACCAGTCTGGTTACATGATAAGTTAAACAAAAACTACTTTAAACTATTATGTGAAATGATCTGCAATTATTGTGTTCTGTTTTATCTTGTGTATCCTTCACACCTCTGGTTAATGTTTCTTTTCTCTTCTTTCTTTGCATTATAGTTTAATTTATGGTGAAGTCAATTTATCCGGTTTTTATTGACAGCTGATTTTTTCGAGACACCAGGGTTGCTGCTCGTCCCGCAGCCAGCAGGTGGCAGCAGAAGCCTGTTCAAAATATGTCTTTCCATAAGGGCAAGTTGTCCCCCCTCTCTGTACAAGTTTTCTTCTAAGGTATTAATAGGACTTTAGGTTAACCAGGTTTAAAAACACAAGTGATCACAGCAATTTGCACCTTATACAATAAAAAAGAAAGAAAAGAAAACCCTTCGGTTCTAAATCTGCTTGAGTAATTTGTAACAGGTTTTTTTTTTTTCTTACAAGTTCTCTTCTCCATTAATTCTTGGATGGATGAATTTCTCCTCTGCTTTCATAAAGGATCCTCCTACTGTGGCTCCTATCCTAAAGGAGGTAATAAAGAAGCTCCTTTCCTAAACATCTGGAGAACATATCTTTGCAGATATCTCCAGGTGCGACTAATTTCAGTGCATTTTTGGATTAATATCCTTCACAGGGGAGATTTGACTCTATTATCTGAGAACAAACATGTAACTTTAGAGGGAAAACACTGACCTGAGTGACTCTGGAGGACTTTCAGTGCTCTGGACTTCACCACATTAAACACACCAAGCTAGCACAGCAGGTTAACGATAATTTTCAATGCCATAATAACTGTTTATCGTCCCCCTCTGGCCTGGAGGTGCACATTCCCAGAACCCAACAAATCTTTTCTCCGCACAGCAACCACCAGGCCAGGCAGGCGACTGCTGGGGGTCACAGACCAGTAGGGGGCGCCAGAAAGCTGACAAACGATAAGCTGCAGCAGTAGCTGCGTGCAAGGTTTGCAAGGACAGTTGAGACCAGGGGAGCTTCACCTGACTCCACCCACTCTCACTGAAAGTGACGTTTTTGATCCTCTTTAAACAAACCTGATGACAAACAGTGAGGAGTTATGCTTCTGTCATTGAAAACAGAAGAAAAGAAAAAGCAAGACAGCGGTGAGTCGAGCAGATAATAATGAAGTCTAATGCTGCCAGCCTGAATTATAACTCCCAGCAGCATCACATTATTCCTTTAGTTTACTTTGATATTTAATTTGAGTTAATGTGCCTACCAGAGCAGCCTGCTGTGTCCATGTGTGCTGGCTATGTGAAGTCAGGTCCACACGGATGGGAGTCAAAGTCAGGATACCAGTAATAAGTGGTGCTGGTTGTTTATTCACCAAAATAATGACATTGTCATACTAATTAATATTTTTATACTCTAACAACACATAAAACATGTTAAAGTCCAAACATAAAAAAATAAATAATTCGATTGTGCATATAAAAGGAGATGCAAGGAGACATAAATTCAAAGTGTTGAGATGAATGACATCTGACTGCACATTCTTTCGTCTCACTGGCTGTATTACACACTGACACACTGAAGTTATTTCTGGTCTGCAGTACTTGCTCAAAGCTTGACTTTCAACAAAGCCAGGAGTGAAGGGTAGTCTGTGACAGTTTGTGCACGCTGAGGCATCTTCCTGGTGATGCAATCTGAAGTTTTCTATTAAATACATTTTTAAGATATTCTATCTGCCTGGATTTCCAAACAGAATTGTGAATTTTAAGTACATCAGAGACTGTTTAAAGTCATCTGTTCAGTAGACAGATTTATTTGCATTAAAAGACCTCCTGATGGCGCTCTGGAGTCTCAGCAGAGCCCTCTTCTCTCTCCCACATTCTCACACACTTTTTGTACTTCCATCTTTGTGAGGACGCTCACTGACATAATCCATTCCTGAGCCACTTTCCCGTGAACATACTACCAGCAGGACGGTGCAGTACCTCAGACACATCCTTGGGTCCTGCCCTGAGTTACAGACATTAAAAAAAAAAGCTAAAATACAGTACAAAGCACAAACTTAAAATGCAAATAAAAGCAGAATTCAGTGATGTGAAAACTCTCTAAACCTTCAAAATGTTGAAGCTGGACATTTGTAACTGTTTTTGAAAGATAATTTTGAATGATTTACTTCCTCTGCAGTTTTTTATATGTAGCATTTGAGGAATTAATCAAAACAAAGTTTTATTTTTTCACAAATCCAGCAAAAAAGAAACAAACATCTGCCAGTGAAAATGCTGATCTTGGAAATTTCTAAACTTTTTAAAACAAACTGAAAACTGGAAATAGAAATTCTCATATTAAATCCTTTAGACCAAATTTTTAATTAAAAAAAAATAGCACAAAATGGTGCACTTGCAGTGCCAGGCTGCTCCCTGACCTCAGTGGCACTCAGACGTCCTCTTCAGAAGGCCTTAATGTTTGGCATGATTGTAGCTAAAAGACTTGTTCTTGGAGCCTGGAAATCACCATCTCCTCCATTGTTTAGGGTTTGGCTACATGAGATGATTGCATGTTTGTATATTGAAGAGGTTCATTATGGTCTGGCTGACACTCATTTTAAGTTTGGTGAAATCTGGGGCCCTTTTCTCAGTCATATTAACAGGGATTCAACATAAACTTTAACCCATTTGACTGCACTTTGTGTTTGTGTGAAACTTCACTTCTGCCGGGCCCTGATTCCTTCCTGGACTTGTTCCCCACATCTTCTGGACTTGGTGAACTCTCTGTTGCCCTGTCTAACCTCACACAGAAGATCATCTTCTTTGGACACTGGTATTTCTTTGGAACTTTTGATTTGTACTGGCTAACCGCTGTATTTTCTGTCTTTTGTTTCCTGTTTTCCTGTTTGGGTTTTTTGTTGTTGTTGTTTATTTGTTTTTGGTTTTCTTTTTTTTCTGTGCTTGAATGTTATTGTTTTTGAATCTTATGTCCTTTGTCTGGTGTGATTTTATGTAACTTCGAACTTAAAATCTTATAAATAAACATTTTTAAAAAAAGCACAAGGACAATCAAAGCAGGAACATGTGCCTGCATACTACTGTCTTATATCACCTTCTTTATCAACAGACTCTCCTCTCTAAATCAGCCTTTTGTTGTACTTTTGGAAGCTGATTCTTTCTTTATTCTTGTTTGATAGAGCTGTCCTCTTTATCTTGTCATAAAGCTCCAAATGTTGGCAGGTCTGGACTGGAGGCAGGCCAGTTTAACATGTGAACTCCTTTCCTGTAGATTCCTCTTGCTAAAATAAGACAGATAATTCTACTGTATTTAACTATAAAAGCTTAAACCCTAATTCCAAGCCATATTTAACCAAAAATGTATACAGCCTTTACTCTACACACACTTAACCTAACATACCTGGTGGTTGGGGGAAGCTGGCGGCCTGCAGGAAAACTATGAAGGCACATGGAGAAAGTGCAAACTGCACACAGAAACGCTCCAGTTTAAATAAAAGCAAATGAATACGGCCTACGACACTGGAAACATGTGTGGGTAACATCAAACCAGACCTGCAGAATTGGGAGATCTGCATCATGAAGCGCAATAAGGAGCAAACACAAAGTAAGGATCCAGAGTTTGGTTATCAGTCGATGTGACCACGATAACTAAAAATAAGTGCAAAGTGAAAGAAAAGTACCGTTGGCTTCTTGGGAAATAGGGAGCAATAAGGGGTGTAATAAGTGCTAATAAGTATTAATGATATGTGTGATATGAATATATAAATATTAAAAAAGGAGAAAAAACAAAACCTGATTAGACCTGAAGCCTCAATCAGCCCTTCTGTACCGCAGTGACAACCAAATGCAAAAATTCACTCAGGTCCTTACAAAGATGACGCATACGCATACGCACACACACACACACACACAAACACACACACACACACACACGTGAGTTTTCCATGTTTCTCATGTTTCTTAATGCGTCTTTAACTGCCAAGTGGTGCAGAGATGGCGCCTTGACCTGCATCACCCTGCACACAGGCACACTGCATGATTTCTGAAGACCACTTCTGAACACGTGACCTCTGACCTTTCTCTGTGCACTGTAACCACAGGTCAAGATGAAGCGGGTTTTTTTCCTCTCATGGTAACAGCCTGAAATGTGTGAGTGTGATAAAAGAAAAAACATCTCGGCAGGCGTGACGTAAAAACACGTTTAATATCTGTTCGCCAGTCGTTTCTATCCATGAGTTCGGAAGGTTTACATCTCTGTTTTTATGTGTTTTCTCAGTGCTTATTATATGTAAGGTTTTCAAGACACAATAAAGCAACAAAATATGGATCAAAAAGTATTTTAATTTACATAATATCCCGCACAAAATAAAGAAGTGAACACTGAAGGCATGCTGTTGAAACTGAAAACACTGCCATCGAATAGTCTCGGTACATTTCTAATAGAACCAAAAAACTGGATTTAAAGAAAGACTAACACGTTTTTTTGTCTAATATTTTCATCGACCGCAGAGCAACATCAGCTTTGAGACTTAATTCCAGAAAAGAAAGAAAGAGCGTGAGTCCAGACATTGTGCCGTCAAGTCCTCCTTCTCCTCTCAGTGTGGAGTTATCGGCCGGTGGATTTTTCTGTGTCTCAGGAGCCAGGTGGTCTGAAACAGCCCCTCCACCCCACCTCCACCTCCCTCCTCGCCCTCCTGGTTAGAGTGGGCTGCCTTTTCAAGAGGCGTTCAGGGGGCCCCAGCTGCTTGCCCTAATGCTCCTCCGGAGAGCCGAGGATTAAACTGAGGGGAGAGGGACAGAGAGGAAGGCAGAGAACCTGGAGTCTGCAGAGGGGAAATAAAAGGACACGATGAGGCAGGAAATGTAAAGAGGGAAGGGGGAAAAGGATTCATACAAATAGAGGTTGTAGTTAAGTGTCTCCTCCACCTCCTCCCCCCCCACCTCTAGCTTTGGTCAGAGACATGAGGTGGTTTGGCTCAGAGCCGCTCTGGGGGACCAGGTCTGGAGAAAAACAGAGAAATAAAAGAGAAATGATATTTGCTTAGCAAGGAGGAAAGAAATGTGAATCAGTGGGTTGTATGAATAAAATTCTAGTATTTTGTTTCTTTGTAGCTTTCTTCTTCTGTGACTGCACCTACACAGTTTATCATGCAGCTTATAACTTAGCACTCCATCATCTCATTCAAATATAGACCAAAAAAACCAACATGGCAGGAGCCAAAAGACGTCTGTGCATCCCTCAAATAAAATTTGAGACATTCTCAAATTATATTTGAGAATTCTCCGAACAAAACTAAAAACCCCTTTTAAGATCTGTACCACCCACAGCAAGACATATCATCAATGTAATAATACAGCTCACTGTGAACAGAATGAATAGTATCTAACTTTTATAGTAATTTCATGTAGAAAGAAAGAATATAGCAAAAACATATTAGATAAATTATGATTTGCATTTCACGGAAGAAAAGAAGTATTTGACACCCAACAACCTGTCCAGAATTCTGGCTTCCACAGTAGTGTACAAATCAGGCACACAGATTACCATCAATCAAACAATTATATGAATCACACGTGTTCATAGGCTCACTTTCTTCTATTCCAACCTCTCCACCACCATGAACAAGACCAAAGATGTGTCAGGGACAAGATTGTAGACCTGCACAAGGCTGTGATTGGGCTTCAAGACCATCAGCAAAAAGCTTTGAGAGAAGATGACAACTGTTGGTGCGATTATTTGGAAATGGAAGAAATATAAAAGACCAATGAGGTAGTGGATCAGCCCAAAATGAAATGATTTGAATGCAGTTGGAACCACACTTACCAAGAACACCATTGCTAACGCTATGCTTTAATGCCAAAGGTCCTCTGCTCAAGCAGGTGCTGTACAGGCCTGTCTTCAGTTTCCCAGTGAACATCTAAATGATTCAGAGAAGGCTCGGGTGAAAGTTCTGTGGTCAGATAGAACCAAAATTGGGCTATTTGGCATCGATTCAACCCGCTGTGTTTGCGGGAAGATAAATGCTGAGTATGACTCGAAGAACACCATCCCCATAGTCAAGGATGAAGGTGGAAACATTATGCTTTGGGGATGTTTTGGTGATAAGGGTACAGGACAACTTCACCACATTGTGGGGCCATATAGAGCAGCGGTCCCCAACCCCCAGGCCTCGGACCGGTACTGGTCCGTGAGTTGTTTGGTACCTGGCCGCGAGAGTTGAGGCTCAGGTGTGAAATGTATGGTTTTCAGGATTTTTATTGGTTTTAAGCGTTATTTTGTTATCGTTTTTATCATTAACTCGGTTTTCCTGGGTCTTTTCACGTGTGTTATGAATAAATCTTCTTTTTTTCGGTACTGGCTACTAGTTTTATTTTGTTGTATTTATCCGCGACACCTTAAAGGCCGGTCCGTGAAAATGTTGTCGGGCATAAACCGGTCCGTGGCGCAAAAAAGGTTGCTGACATAGAGTAAAACTTTGGTGAGGACCTCCTTCCCTCAGCCAGAACAGTGAAGATGGGTCTTGGATGGGTCTTCCAGTGTGACAATGACCCAAAACATACCACCAAGGCAACAAAGTAGTGCCTAAAGAAGAATCACATTAAGGTCATGAAGTGGTCTGGCCAGTCTCCAGACCTATGGTAAGTGGACCAGTTCTTTTATAGCGCTTTTCTACTCTGAGCACTCAAAGCACTTTACACAACTTGTGCTTTCACTCATTTTTTTTCTTAGTGCCTTCTAACTACCATTTACACTCCGATGGATGCATCGGAGAGCAATTTGGGGTTAGGGTATTTGGCATGCAGACTAGGGGAAGCCAGGAATCGAACCACCAACCTTCCGATCAGTAGATGATCTGCTCTACCACCTGAGCTACAGCCACCGCACCTGACCTCAGTCCTACAGAAAATCCTCGGGGGGAGCTGAAGCTTTGATTTACGAGCAGAAGGATTTAGAGAGTTTCTGTAAGGAGTGGGCCAAAGTCCCTCCTCAGATGTGAGCAAACCTGGTGACCAACTACCAGAAATGTCCTATCACTGTGCTTGCCAACAAGAGTTTCACTACCAAGTACTAAGTCATATTTTTTCTTGAGGATCAAACATTTATTTCCATGACATGCAGATCCATTTATAACTTTTATGTAACGTGTTTCTGGATTTTTAGTTGATGTTCTGTTTCTCTCCATAAAAATTAGACTACGATAAAACTTAGAGACTGATCATTTTTGTTTAAGTGAGCCAACTTACAAATCAAAGGAGATTAGATCATTATTTCATATACTATCATGAGAAATACACCAAAAGGCACTGGCATGAAGCCTAACAGCACCTAGAACTTGCTGTACATCATTAGCAGTTTGGCTGCCTCCATGTTGCTTCTTCAGAGCCAGTGGTTCTGGTGTAGTGGGTAACACAGTCACCCAACACAACAAAGATCCCTCAAGCAGACACAAATCCCACAGTGGGTTGGATATTGGGTACAAAAGGGCACCTGGTGTAAAATGTGCCAAATCAAACCCATAGCTCCGTTGGCTGGGATGATCCATGTGAATAAGAGATTGACCGAAACAAGCTTCATTTGTAATGCACAGACACAAATACCAGCTAAATACTAGAGTAATAACACACAAAACCTGAGACACAAACTTCTGGGATAGTATGCACCACACAGCAAGTGCTCAAAATGAAAGGTGGATGAGGCCTAGCAGACTCCAACCTGTGCTGGGACACATTTTAATCAGTGTGTCCACAACCCTAACTCAAGTATCCAAGTGGATCAGTTCCAAAAAATAAAATAAAAGTAATAACCCTGTTCAGAGGGGTCATGAAGGGGGAAAACGTTCTATAGAAGCCAAAATGTTTTTGCATCAGGCTGTAAACGTGTAAAGTTGGGCATTTTAACATGAGAGTTTATGGGTCTGACTCATTTTTAGAACTGCTCCCAAGTGGCCATTAGAGGTACTACAGTTTTTATCCTTTTCACTGTCAGGGGTGCCTTTAACAAAGCCAGACTTATCAGTTTAAGAGACAGAAGGATGAGGAGCAAATCAGTTAAAAGAAACCACATTGTTGCTCTTTCCAGCTGTTTTGCTGTTTAGCATGCTACTACTGCCTACTCGCTCAGGAGCCGCGGTCTACAATAATGGTCATGTGATGTGATTTCAGTTTTGTTCTATTTTTAACAGGTGCAAATACGAATACATACGTACAAATATTTGAATATTCTAATACAAATACGAACAACCCGGTTTTTGGCACAACATCGCTGAAATGTTTGGAGAAAGTTGTTTCTGCAGATGTTTGCTGATAAGTGTGATCCTCCTCAGCTTGTGCCCACATTGGCCCATGAAGAACAGAAAGAAGTCAGGGTTAAAGTAGTGATGGAAGAGCAAATTCAACCTAATGAGGAGGTCGGGGTGGATGGATTGGTCATTTCGAAGTCATAGTGGACATCTTTATCATTTAACGGTCTTAACTACGTGTCTGTAACTGCTGGTGTGACGATAAAGGCTCATATTTTAACACAAACTCTGATCTCCACCTAAAAACCTCACCGGGGCGTCTTTTGTGCCTGAATTTAAAACAGTGTCATATTTTTAAAAAGCTTGTCATATTGTGGTTATGAAAAGTTGCTTAATTTGATGAAATAATCAAGTAAAATCATGAAATTTCTTTTGCAGTTAAGTTTTAGGCTTGCAGTTCACATCTAACACTGATTAAATTGATGGCTGTTTATTAGCTTGTTGAATTAGGTGAAAATAAAGTCATTTTTTTTATTTATTGCTTCTTATTCAGAGATCTGACTGAGGTCAGGGGCACTTCTTCACAGAGAAACAGATTCAGACTGATGTAAATCAGAAGATGGAGTCTTTGAAAGGAAAGAAAGAAGTAAATGTGTTTCTGCCAGCAGATCTGACTTCTTTGTGTGCAGTCTGTTTATCGTTTTTCTGCCTTTTTATTTCATACATCAGATCAGACTGCAGGCAGAACTGGTTCCACATGGACCTGTAGTTGTTTATTCTATTCACTGTGCCATCAAGGCTAATGAGAAGCACAGATTAAACACAGCAGGAATAAAATCTAAACTGCAAACCAAAATCTGTCTGTGAAACCCAGCATAACCTCCAACCTCAGAAAAACTTCCCCATGACACAAAAAGGCCTTCACAAGTTTGTGTTTGGTTTATTTAAATGTTCCAGATTGTGGTTTTAAAATCAAATAAATTTATTCAGTTTAGCCCCATTTTCCTCTCTCAAACAAACACGCACATATACAGTCTCCCAGCTTTACAAACCAGTATAATTTTTCTTTAATTCTATATTGAAGGTGGATAACTAAGAGTCCTTGAGCAAAAAGATTTGAATTTCCCGACCCCCTCACCGTCTCTTCTACCAAGGTGAGGGTTACTGCTGTGGTAAATGAAAGAAGTCTGTCAGCAAGTCCCTTTGGACTATTATAGAATAGAAGAATCAAGTACTTTATTGTCATTATTTATCATCATTTATTAAAATAAATGTGTAAAATTACAGAAAGATTCTGGTACTTAATTGCTCAGACTTCCTGTAATTATACTGTGAGTTATAAGTCTTGATTAATCCATATAAAATGTCCTTTTTAAATGTATTTATTTATCTAACTTTTTTTCTGCTATTTAATTGTTTATCTGTTGCTTCATTACTGTTGTACAAGTGGCTGTAGAGGAGGTCGGTGTCTGTAGGACAAGTTCAAATTTATCAAACAGTTAAAAGTTTTTTAAAAAGTAACCATTCACATTTTTCAACAACATCAGACTGTATATTAAAGATGGCCAAACGTGGCCACACTGATAATTCATTTGTGGGGTCTGTAAACATTTTTTCAGTTGTGTGTTTGTTTGTTTTGCTTTCTGGAATTTGGAAGGTGCCTATTTGGATGAGAGGGGTGGAGTGATAAGTAGTCAGCTAGTACTAGCAGGCTAAGGTTGGCAAGCTGCATGCACAGACAGATACCTGCTAATAAGTGCTAAATAACAGACTAATACATTTAGGATTGATTAACAAAAGCATACTGGAGGTCTGTACTTCACACATAAGCATATTCTTTGTCACCCAGTTCCAGTAAAATTCTCCAGCAGCACAGAGTTGCAGTTGAGTTCAGAGGCTCTGATTACTGGATATTAGGACTCTGAAAGTGGCAGCAACTACAGTTCAATTCAAATTTATTCAGTTTTATTTATATAGAACCAAATCACAACAACAGTTGTCTCAAGGTGTTTTAAATTGTAAGGTAAAGACCCTACAATAAAAAATTTGCACACAAATAGACTAAAGCAGCTACAACTTTTTAGCCTTAACAAAATCCAAATGGATGTGGTGGAGTTTTGTTTTGTTTTGTTTTGTTTTTAATGTCATGAAAAATTAAATTAGGATTAAATTATACCATTTTAAAATAGGAATCTATGTGGATTGACTCACTTCTGGAGTCGGCCTCAAGTGGAGATTAGAGAAGCTGCAGTTTTTGCGACTGATAGGGTGCTATGCTTGAATATCAACCTTTTCCTGGTAAAGAAGCCCAGCACATCTTTGCATTCTTGTTCTTTTGTGCAACAAATTTGAGGAAATATGAATATACACACCTCTTAAAAGTATTGCAACCAGAGGTCAGGTTCTCACTTTTACTGCTTACTTTTTGCAACCAGAGTGACATAAGATTGGTTATCATTTGTGATGTTTTGAAAACATTTAGAAGCTGTAATAAATTAAAAATATTTAAGTGATTAGTGATCTGTTACCCTCAAACACAGACAATCCTGCAGCCATGCTCACCAGACGGTGTCTCGGGCTGCTTTGTACATTAATCTGAATTCAGCCAATCAGAGCGATGGCTGATAAAGTGCATAGTTACTTTCATTTAACAGCAAACCACCCGTAGCAGGGGGCAAAATTATAAGCGTTACAATGTGGGACCGGTAATTATGCTTTATTTCAGGTCATGATGATTTTATTTGGGCTTAAAAGCACTTTCCACCGTGGTATGAATACAGTTCACTTAAAAACATCAAAGAAAAAAACAATAAAAGGGTCATCAGTTATTTTACATTTTTATAAAAATAAAAGTAGTTGCTCGTAGTTTATTAAAAGTTTGTTAACATATCTTTGTATGTTTAAAACCACTGTGTTTCCTAGATATTTATATGTAATTAAACTGGATTAGCAAACACATTTGAAAAGAAAGTCAATTGTTACTAAATTATATTTTTCCAAAATTGCAAAAGAGAAATATGAATTTATTTCGTTAACTGTAATTGTGTTATCGAGTTCATCCATTTCACAAAGTTGGAAAATAAACATTCACACCAGTCTTTGCATTTTCCATAGCAGGTGGTGTATGTTTGAGGAAAGTACAGATTAGTAAATGAAACAAGTATGCACTACTACACGCAGCTCCTCAGTATGCAGACAAAAAGCATGGCTAAGGTACGTAAACCTTATTTACTCGTTTAAAATTAAGTAAGTAAAGACATTTTACAGTTACCTGAGAAACAAAAAGAAAGTTAAATGCAATGTCTGAGGACAATCTCTGTGCTAAGCAGTTAAAAAAAATGATTTAACTCCTGGTACACAGCAAAAGATTAACGTTTTACAAAAACAGGAATGTTAAAAATAATGTACGTTTGTATTCATTTTAATTTCAAATATTAGAACTAAAGTAAAAACAGGAGATAAGAGAATATATGCTTTAAATATTCACATAGTTCTGAAATTCCTTATGATTCCTTATGATGATTACGATAATTAAAAGAGCAGATCAATCAAAACAGGAGAAGTAGCTGACAGTTACTTTTTTAAATGGAGATAAATGAATCCGTGCTGTGAGTAAGATCACTGAGGGGCAGCTGCCCCCCCACCCACCCCCCCACAGCACCTGCCAGCTTCATAATCTAATTACGCATCCATAAAACAAGCAGGATGCTAAAGCATTAATGATTACTGGATTAAACACTTAGTAGACTGACACTAAAAAAGCAATCGCTTTTGTGGAATTCATTCACTAAACCAAAATCTTTGTATTTGACTTTCAGCGTGCTAAAAATGGAATTTCATTACTTTTCAACATTTTCTGACCTTGAACAAACTCTTATTTAAAAAAGCTCGTTAACGTCCTTTAGAGAACCACAAACCTCCCTGTACTCTAAAAACGACAGAAAATAAAGGATTAAACCACATTCGTGACATAACTGTGGAGTGATTATAAATCAGGAGCTTAGACAGAGATGGTTCTCTGTGATGACATCGCAGGAGTTTAAAGAAAGCAAAGGGAAACTTCTTCTAAAAGAACACAAACCTCATGGAAATCCTCTCTAAAAACAAAACAAAAGAAAACATGAAATACATACAACACAGTGTGGAAGAATTTGTTGTATTTTACATTTTTACTTTTTTTGTCAAAGATATTTTTACTTTACATTAAAAAATGTTCATTAATATTCAGCAGGATCTCACATTTCAAACATTACTTTATGGTAATAGGTGACATTTTTTACACAGTGAAACCCAACACATTGTTCTGAAAAAGGCATCTGACTGGGGCCTGTCGTCGCCGATGAGAGATTTCCCCTGAAAACCTCGACTGTGGTTTTATTTAAATGACTGTAATTATCCCACATTTCACAACAAAATGAAGCAAAATTTGTGAAGCACTTTTTTTTTTTACAGCATTAATCATCTGACGACCGCTCAGATTCATCTGTGTCCTTTCAAAACGCTGTGCATAATAAATCAAACTTACTTCTTACGTTTTATATTTTACCTTCACAGACTTACATTTATTTAATGCAGGATTTCATCTGTTTTCAAAGTCTGGTATTTTTTTATTCCAAGCGTGAATGTGAGAAAATAATGAACATTTAGTTTTAACACAGACAATAAATCATGTGGATTATTACAGATAAATTGCTGTTTTAAAAGCCAAAAGAAATATTATAGGATCGTTGTTTAAAACATTATTTAGCAGAATAAAGAAGTGAACACCCAATTAATTAGTTAAGTGTAACAAACACCTTACAGTTTAATTAACTCACCATAAAAATCACTTAACAGCAGCAAAGATACACTAGATCTCTGCACAGCACTACAGGGATTTCAATGTTAGAGTGCCACATGTGGACCCTAAACTGATCTGCATCACTGGTAATATATACATCATTTAAGTCCCTGTAGGAATTTCATTTAAAGGAATAAACCTACATTAGCTGGAATCTAAATAATAGAGCAGAGAACATGAGTACTGTGACACTAGATGACCTCTCAGTGCATTTAAATGCTTTATATTGATGCATTCAAAGTCCCCGTGGGAATATTATCATATAACATTTTCAAAAGGCCTTTTTGGGTGAAGATTACATCAATAAACAATAAAATAGATCCACTGTACATACAAAGAGCACCGGAGGCCTGTTGTATAATAATTATATCACACTTCCCATCTTATGCTAAAGAGTTAAAGAAACGCTGCTTTTAAAATTTGCTATGTCACTGAGATAGCATAGAATCACTAAACAAGTAAATAATGGTCCCTATTATTTGGAAATGACCCCATCAGTATAATTATTTGTAACACTCACTATAAAAGGAATTCAGTTTAAAGACTAAAAACACTTTTGAGCCATAATGAATTAAAAATAAACTCATTGTAAATCTTACATTAGAGAACATGAGCATGGCTATGTTAGAGGCTGACCTTTCTGGGAATTTGCATGAAATGTTTTCACCTTAAACATATCACAAATATCCTTGGACACATTAAAAGTCCCTCTGGGAATATACTTATACAAAGCCTCTTAGGAAATATTAAAGCCAAGAAACACCAAATTGGACACATTATGAGAAACCTGAGTACCAGAGGCTCGTAATTTTACTACAACATCACGGGGTATGTAGACTCATAGGGCGTAAACTATTACTATTAATTTAATTTTGTATTTAAAAGAAAAGGTTTTCATATAAAGTAATTAAAGTAGACTCACCAAGAGCCTGCACATACTGCAATGATTATATATCTAACAACAAGTAATTGGAGGATTTTAAAATATCTAACAGACATACACGTATCACGTGCTTAAACACATCATAAACAGCCACAGACACAATTAAAGTCCATGCGGGAGTAATGAAAGTGTCTCTGAAGAGACCATAAAGTCAATGCCCACAAAATCAGGCGGGATACACTATGAGTGGAATAAGTAGAGCTCAGAGGCCTGAATGCTTTGGTGAAATCCCAGGAAATACAAGTTAGGTCATGTAAAATTAAGTAAATAGCGAGACAAAAAAGTCAGACACCTGCAATGATATAAACATTTTAAAATATTAGCGTGTAATATTTTAAAGCCTTTTATTTTTTCTCTTTTTTCACTTGAAGATCATTAAAGTGGCTCAGAGTCACTAAAACTACAACACTGCAGTGATTATATCGGACAGGAAAGGAGCCTGCCATAAGAATCTGATTGTACCAAGTTGACCTTAAACGCATCATAAAAGGTCTCAGACATATTCAGAGCTTCAGCGATGAAAAAAACAACCAAAGATTAAAAACCAAAAAAGCAAAACTGTTTTAGGAAATAATAAAGTGAGTAAAACCTAAAACAGATTAATTATATGTGACTAGCCAAAGCACTCAAGGTCTGTATGTGACAAGTTTTAACTATTATTAGGATGGTGTGATAGTTCCCCCCCCCTAAAGTCATTAAAGGAGCATTAGATCACTAAGTGCCTGCAATTGTATCAATGCATAAATACATTAACACATAACTTTTCTGTAGTGATGTCATATTAGAGCACTATAACTCATCAATAATAGTTATAGCGATAACGTCTCTCGTTATAAAACGTTACAGGGGCTGGAAACATCTGTAGACACCATCAGGCCACTGCAGAGCTCCAACTCCTCAAAGTAGAACCTTGTTTCAGGTGGTTCCGGTGCTTCTGCACCCGCCGGGTTACCTCACTTACCGCCAGCAGTAGTTCTGAGCCCGGAGGAAGCTCCGGATCCCGGCCTCGGTCCTGGCCCGGCTGTTTTCCGATCCCTCCTGCAACGGGGAAGCCTCGATCTGTGAAAACTCCAAAGAGGACGTGGCGTGACGTGGTGCTGCAGGTCAGCAGGTGATTGGCTCCTCGGACTGTTTACAGGATGGCTGAAGGTGCACGTTTAAAGGTGGATTGTTTTCGGTCAGTGAGAACATTAAAGAGGTTTAAGATCAGGAGAAAAGTCTGGATATCCTCGCAGCTCTGACGAGAAAAAGTAGAATTAAAATGAAGGTCAGAGCTTCAGCTTCAGTCTCACTTCTACTGGAAAAAGAATTGAAAATCATCCAAAACATTAAACTGGATGTAAATATACATATATATTTTTTATTTTATTTGGGTCATTTCTTCTTCTTCGACTCACACGCATGTAGCTCCATTTCATGTTCGTGTTTTTCCTAATTACAAAAAGCGGCAAAAGCTTCTCTGTAGTCTCATTTCTCTCATTGATATTTCTAATCTTAAATATTTAATCTTAAACTCTTTGAAACTTTCATTGGGATGTATTATGCCATAAAAAAAGGGTAAACAAGTAAACCTGCAAATTGAGCAAATAAAACAATAATTGGATAAATTATTTACATGCAAAGACTATTTGATTAAAGACAGTGAAACAAAGATTTTTACATCATAAACACTTGACAATAAATACAGTCTGAATAATTATGATTTTAGTTGATTTAATAGCTTCTTAATATTCGTTTATAGGAGAAGTTACACATAAAAAAAATCCAGAAACAAAAGTTTAGCTCGGTTTATTTTTGTGAACTTTTGTAACGCGCAGAGTGAGCAAAGGGAGCAGATTAGCTCGTGCGCAAAATTCATGTAGAGAGCGGGAAATACACGGGATTAAAACACGCGCAGATTAAACTCGCAGTCAGATTAAAGCTGTGGTTTGAACACGAAGCGGTAACCGCGCGTGGAAGTGTCACAGACTCTCAGATCCACTCGCGCGTAACTGGAAGATGAAACTGAGATAATAGACCTGCGCACTGTTGCTCGCGCGCAATAACAGAAGAAAACCGCGAAAGAACTGCAGGTGTCACACGTTGAGGGGTGGGGGGTGGGGAGGATGGGGCACATTTATGGTCACTTTAAATGAAAAAACATCAAATTCAGTTCCAATAAAGAGCGATCTGAAGGAAAGCCGCTGTGAGAACTCTGACAGGTGGCCGCTCTTTTTCTTCTTCTTCTCCGGGTAAATATGTGCCGTGGTAAATCAGGTGATGATTTTGATGTTTGGAGGAATTTGGGCTTTGACTCTATCCAGCCTCGGAAACAGAATCCGCAGCAGCAGCAGGTCTGAACCATTTTCTCTGCTTACCTCTAATGTCAATTACCATTGTTGGCTGCTGTGTCCGCGTCGCTCCGCCCCTCCATGTGGGTCCAGCGGGATAAGGGCAACTGGTCTCCTCCTGCTGCCGATCAGCTGGACTTTTTCCCAGCGACACAGAAGAAGCAAGAAGCCGGTGGGAGGGAGGGGGACGCAGGCAGAGAGCCGCCAGAGAGAACCGAGCACATCCAGCCGCACGCAGCAGGAGGGCACGGGGTGGCCGCACCATGTCCTTGAGCCCAAAGCACTCCACTCCCTTCTCAGTCACAGACATCTTGAGCCCGATGGAGGACCGCTACCGCAGGTTCGGAGTGATGGACCCCGCAGCGGGGAGCCTCGGATCCCCGCTGGGAGCCTACCGGCAGCCGCAGGTCTCGCAGCCCGGTATGCAGCATCAGCAGCAGGCGCACCATCAGCAGCAGCCGCCTCACCTCCACCACCATCACCATCATCACCACCACCACCACCTGTCCTCGTCCTCTTCTTCATCCTCCTCCTCCTCTTCATCAGGCTCGGCCAGCGCAGCAGCAGCAGCCGCTCTGGCTCCCGGCGGGCCCTACCACGTGCCCCACGGGGTACCGCAGTTCTCCGGAGCCGTCGGAGGGTTCTGCAACGGCGGCATCGGGAACGTCGGAGACCTGCCGTCCTACCAGGAGACGGTGAGAGGCGGAGGGGCGGCAGCGGCGGCGTGGTACAGCAACCCGGAGCCCCGATACCCGACAAGTAAGAGCGTCCCCGGCCCGGAGAGACAAGCCTGAGTTAGACTGAAGCGATTGTTAGAGTTAAGTCACTTTATTAGGATTATTAGACATGTTACAATAATCCGGCTTCCTCTTCCAAACGATATGAAGGATTTAAAAAGATTTATGTTTTATGAAACGTTTGTTTGTTGCTCCTAAACAAATTGAATCCGAATTAACTGCATTTTAATGTCTTTAAATTAACGTCAACATGTTTGATCTTTTAAAGTTAACTCACTGATTTATCCCATTAGACTCTCGCACCTGTCGGTCTGGTTTAAAAGATTAAAATCGTACAATATGATTCATTATTGAAGAACAACAACAACAAACTTTTCCTATTTTTACAGAAGACTTTGGGGTAATTTAACATTTTAAATTTTTTTCTACCGTTTTCACTTTTCCTCTCTAAACGAGTTTAGTTAATTATTATTATTCTTTCTTTTTAAAGCCAAACTCTGATTGTGATTTCTCAAAGTTTCCAGATTCATGGGCCCCTCCGCGGGGATGAACATGCCCGGGATGGTGGGCAGTCTGGCCGGGATGGACTCCACCGCCAAGTCTATGGTGACGCTGCACGCGGCACCGCGCAGGAAGCGACGCGTGCTCTTCTCGCAGGCGCAGGTGTACGAGCTGGAGCGACGCTTTAAGCAGCAGAAGTACCTGTCTGCCCCGGAGAGAGAGCACCTGGCCGGACTCATCCACCTCACCCCGAACCAGGTGAAGATCTGGTTCCAGAACCACCGCTATAAGCTGAAGCGGCAGGCCAAGGACAAGGCCGCGCAACAGCTCCAGCAGGAAGGCGGCGGAGGAGGCGGTGGCGGCGGCTTGTGCGGAGCAACACGCAGGGCTTCGTCTGTGTCCCCGGTCCTCTCCAAGAACTCTAAGGGCTGCCGGACCGACTCGAGTGGGTCGAACCACAGCGGGAACAGGCAGAGCAGCGTGGGGGATGCCATGGCGGAGAGCGGGCAGCAGCCGCAGGTGAACCAGCTGTCCTCCACTGAGGAGCTGGAGGATTTGTCCCCCAGCCCGCCGCTGGGACTGCACGGGCAGATCAACATGACGCAGACGGACGCGGCGCTTATTGAGTACACCAACAGCATGATCGGCTCCAACTTACTGTACGGCAGAACTTGGTAGTGATGCCGAGAGGAGGGCATCATTCCGAGTGGAGTTTTCTGCAGGACACGCGCCAATCTTTTTGTTTTCCTTCCGTGCGTAAAGGTTCGGCTCCTTCTGCACACGCAGTGACTCAAAGGCAGCTTTGAGCAATAAAAAGTGCACAACTCAAACTGTAAATTCGAGCCTCGGGCTCGCGCTGACTCTTGATGATGGCGCGTTTTCTTTTCCCGTTTCTAAACGAAACATTTAAGTCTTTTCTCTCTCTTCTTTTTGTATTTGCCAGACGTGACTGAGACTGAACACAGAGAAACTTTAATTTAAGGAGCTTCAGGATGAGGCACAGCTTCCGGCGCCTCTCACGTTTTTTTTTTTTCATTTCCAGAACAAATTAAATTATTGCAGGTTCAACAAAGTGGAGCAATAGAAGCAGCTCATAAAGACAAAAACCGAACTGAGGCACGTCATCAGAGATCCTTTGTTAAAGCTGATTTTCGTTTGTTTACAGTATTGAATAAATCATATTTTCATTTTGGACCTTTTTATTTTTCTAACGCATTTCCATCAATACAGCTCTAATTACCAACAGGACAGCATTTACTTGGACATGGAACGGATTTCTATCAAATGTCCACCTTTAAATATCCCAAAATATTCACCAAAAATCTACCGTAGGTCAGTTATGTTTTTTTTTTTTTTAAATAAGTGACTTCAATATTCAAACTAAATTTAAATGGGTTTATTTATTATTTTTAACTCATGAAAAAAGGAATTTCTGCTCAGACAAATATACCAACATCACTGAGAAGAATTTATTTTCACTTTTGCAATACATGAGCCAAGTTGGAGAGGTTCCTCTCAAAAATAATCACAGCGGGACACTTTGTCCTTCACTCACTTGTATTTTACAAGTTTAAGAGGCTTCATCATAAAAATCAGAGATTACATAACACACTTTTTTCCCCCAAAGTATTACAATAAAGAAAAAAAATCCTTGTACAAGACAATAATATGAAATGTGGACAAAAAAAAAAAAAAAAGCTAGATGTTGACATTGTTCCCCTAAAAACAGTTCCCCATTCCATAAAATCCCAACATCATTAAGAGTTTAGTTCCAGTTGTATCTTCTGGATGGAGGAGGGAGAGGGTAACCTCTGCCGGAGCTGTAGCCCTGAAATAGAGACAGAGGTTTAAAATAAGATTACAGCTTTACAACAATAAATATGCATCAGGTCAAAGGAATAACTTTAACAAGCACAACACTATTAAAACAGTATTAAAAGATTTAAGTAAGTAAAATGTATTCACAGAACACTTTTCACTGGTAAATATCCCAAAGTGCTTCACAATAAAAGTATAGAACAACATATAATAGAACAACATAAAAACTGGTTAATACAAAGATTTTCTCTGTAAAAATGTAATTGTTTTTTGTTTGTATTAAAACAGTCTACATGGTGGATGGTCAGATTTTTTTTTAAGTTATATTGATATAAAGACAAGATGACACTGAGGGTTTTATTCTTAATTAGTCCACCCATTTAGCACGAGCAGTGCAAGTCTTGGCCACAAGCTTAAGAATTTAAACATCTGTCACATTTTTTCTTGTTTTACTAAACGCTAAAATCAAATGAAATCTCACTGAAATAATTTTTAACTGAGGAAATAATTTAGATTAACACAGACTTTTAAAATAAAGTCTTCCTGTTTAAAAAAAATAACAAAAATAAATCCATAACTTTCAGTAAAACGAAGCACACTTGTTGGAATGCGTGTGATCTGATATTTTAACACATCAGACCCACAGATAAACTGAGCCAAAAAATTCTCTTTACTTTTCCAAATTTTACACACTGAACTTTCTCTGGCTCTAGTTTTAAAAGAACGCCAGAAAACTCTGCAGTCTCCATGCTTTCCTTTCAGAATAAAAGCGTGCTGACATGTATAAAACCATTATACTGTAAAAACAACTCTTTACTGAAACTATTTAAAGTTTCCGGTTCGAATTTCTATCAAACTCTGTTGGCCAATCAGAGAAGAGTTGCTTAAGTGTTCACTTAAAATGCTTCAGAAAGAAACTTTTATTGTCTGATAAGAATCAAAAGTTACCAAAACAGAAATTCTGAAATTTCTGATTTGGTTAAATTCTGATCAGTTACTCCGAATGATTAATATTTCTAGAAGAAAATAATTTCACTCTATAAAATTAAGCATTTTGATAATTTCTTAATTCTTTAAGTTTCAGCTTCTCATAAATTCGTATTGAGTTTTTATGTTTTG